CTAAAAATCTCACTGTTTTGAGACTGTCTCAGTCCGCCCCATCAAACGACCCCTTGACTGAATGACTCATGCTGTCCAAACTTCTACCATCTTAAGAAGCCGGTAAAGGGTACTCCGCAGGGCGTGGCAGAGGAGGCCTTATGTTCACTTCTCGCCCCGCCTGGACCCGTCGTTTTGCCTCCCTTCTCCCTGTCCTCGTTCCCGTCCTCGCCCTCGCTATCGTGTCCCCCAAGGCTGCGTGCTCTCGTCTACGCCCTCTTTGCCTTTCTCCTTCTCCTTCTCGATCTCCCTTTCTTTGCTCTAAATCGTATCACTTCTCTGGGCTGCCTTCCTCACTCGCCTAACTGGATCGGACAAACCAGCCAGCCTTCTGAGAAGAGTGACCAATCAGCAAGGCGCTTCTCGAACTCCTTGACCAATTAAAAGCGAGCCAAACTGGCCAATCATCAGAGCAGTTGTGTTATTGATTTTTCCCTTTATACGCACGACGGCAGCAAATGTTTGGTTTTGATGATTACCTAACACGATTTAAATGTCTCCACTTTTCTCACAGCCTCCATACACCAGTGCCCCTTGCTTAGGCCAGGCCCGGCACAAAGGTCTAAGCGCATGTGAATCAACTCTTCGCGTATAAGTGGGTTTTCGAGGCTACCATGCCATCTCATATAAACGTGAATCTGCATGTCTAACCAGGCCTGACATAGCAACTAATACACAAGTAAATAAATGTACGAATGTGAGAGTTTTGATCGCTTAAGACATCGAGACGTGTAGCTAGTGGATTAGGTGGCGACAGGTCAACGAAAACTTGACTGATTGCCTCGAAGCCTAACGAAATATGATGTACAGTGAAGAAAAACCGACCATGCGTCGGGATCGCTGGAGGAGTCGGCTGGCACGTAGTCGATGGCTTGGCAACCCGTTGCTCGGGCTCCGCGGATCACTTGGTACTGTTTGATCCGCTTCGGGTCGTGCAGACGCGATACGCAAAACGAGACAGCTCGACTCCACCCTCATGCCGCCTCAGAGATCAGGTTTAACCTCGTCTACACAATTGGGTCAAGGCGCCATGGCGACTCAGAAGAAACTCACTTTCACTCAAGTGGCTAAGCACAAAATAGTGTTTTGCCGTCGCTACTGTCTCGTTTTCATTTTGTTGGACAAAAATGACTCGAACACATTTTCGCAAATTGGTCATGTTATCAGATAAATTGGTCCCTCGAACAAGACAATCAAGCTGCCATGACGACGTCAGGCCTCTTCAACATAACCCTTGCTGTGCCTTCTGCCGTTAGTGACATGTCCCTTGCCAATCTCGGAATCACGCTTTTGGTAGTATTCCGTTAAGCCTTGGACACGGAATGAAAGCATACCCACAGTGGCGGAGGGCGCACTAGGGCAATATTTTTTCTAATTCACCCTGACAACGCAAGTGACCTGTTTTCTTTCCGTCCGAACCCCATCTTTCAGCCATCTTGCCTGACATACGGCGTCTTGTTTGGTCTTTTTCCTATTCCCTACAATCCAGGCTATTCCGAGGAGGAGCGCGTGATTTGCGCGTCCCGGCTCGTCCAGAGGATTTGCGATTTGGTGATCGGCCAAATGGCCGAGGAGAACTCGATCTGCGCCAAGATGGAAGAGGAGATCGAGAGCCTGCGACGTCAAGTGGCTGTTAGCCTGGCCGGCCTCGGTCTTCCGCCTTTCCTGCCCGATCGCGGACTCAGCATTTGTCGTCTCAAACAGGTCCGTCTATCCACCTAACACACTTCCTCCCCTTCCTCCTCCTCCTTTTCC